GCATAGCCCCCAGCTGACAACAGCGTCTCAGCGCAGTCTACGTGATGAGCATGTCATGACAATATAGTATGACACAGGATTTTCTCTGGAGGAAGTAACGTTCTAAACAGCTGGCATATACCAGTGACAGTGCTGTAAGCAGATGTGATTGTTCCCAGCGGTGTTGTTCTTATACAGGTGAGCACTGGTAATCAAGCTTGATTCTAGGTCTGGATTTGATGGTACATACATTGACTCACTAAGGTGCACCTGCATAGCGATGAGAGCGGTTTGACGCTTGGACACATGACCCCGCAGCAGCATCGCCCATCGTCTGGCACCAACTCCTCCGCCAGCCGTACTTGACGCGTCCTGCTGGGCGCTGGCGGGAGACAGCCCGCGGGGTTGGGTTTGCAAAGGCAAAGGCAAGAAGTGACAGTGAGAAGTCACAAGTCATGGAAAACCGTTACTGAGGGGGGGGGGGGGGGGGGGGGGGGGGGGGGGGGGGGGGGGGGGGGGGGGGGGTCGGAAGCAAGGCGGCGGGCACGTGATCTCTCGGATCAACATTCCTAAAAAGGCAAAGTGACCCTTATTGACGGCCTGAAGCGGCTAACGATTTAATCGAGAAGCCGGCGTTGTTGGGGGGACCGCCAAGATGATGGTTATGTTAGGCGGCCCGAGTAACACGAAAAGATGGTACAGGGTAGGGTCCTGCAACGTAGTCTAACAGAGAGCTTCAATGAAGCGGATTTTGTTTCTCTGGCACAGGAAACCGGTAATATTAGTTATGAATATACCTGAAATGGTCCCATATGGGTTAAACTGCAGGTATTTAAGGATACGCACAAAATTGGAAAAAGTACTTAGAACCACGCAGCCGGAGAAATTCTAGGAAACAGATCCGGAAATAGTGCCAAATAGACTAGAGAATGGTAAGGCTTTGGTACACATAATCGCAAAGATTTTAGAGAAGGAATATAAACATGTAGTGCGCAACAGGGAACCATGACTTTCATAAATAAAAATCAACCAGGAAAAGCCGTTTCTATTCACCAAGAAAGATGCCAGACCATCTTACTTAAGTGGAAATTACGTCATGGCATAAGTTCTTTATTTGTCGAATGACAAAGAATGTAGAACATTTCAACCAGATGATATAATTAAAGCTAGCCTATGATTCACAGAACATAAGTATGATACGATAGGCAGAAAAATAAAAGATTTTAAATCTAACAGTAAGATTAT